GTGGTAGTCTTAATTTTCATTCTTTTCCATGCCCAAATTATCACTTTACTAGTAGGATCATGGTTATTGTTTTTAAGGGAGAAGAAAACACAGAGATTATTTAATCCGTATCCCTTATTTTACTAAGAATGATAAAAACACACTAACTTGCCCAACATATCAGTTATCATGACAGCCATAACTAGAACACAGGTAGCCAGTGACTCTCGGTCCTTCACTTTTGAGACTACAATTCAACCTAACTCTATGACACACCTATTAAGGGTGCACAAGACAGACGTAGGTACAATCAGGCAGGGGAGCTAGAGATAATTATGTGTATCATAATTATAAGGAAAGTTACAATGTGCTGCAACCTGGTGCGTAGCCAGGGAAAGTGAACCTAGACTGGAGCTCAGGGGAGGCCTCGTGTGATCTGATAGAACTTGAAGATGCATAGGAAAATGTTCGGCAGTGAGGGAAGAAGAAAATTCGAGGCCCAATGAACAGGCTGCACAAAGGCCCAGAGTAGATAGTGTGTGTGAGGAACTCAGTGAAGGCCAGAGGGAGCTCAGGGGCCACGGGGGAGAGGGCTTGAGATAGATAAGCTAGGTGAGGATCAGACCTGGGGGTGCTTCATCGACCGTGGTGAGGAGTAGATGGATTTGAATGGAAACCCACTGCAGGGCTTGCAGCAGTCGGGTGGCTACCCTTGGAAGTCGTACAAATCATTTGAGTTATCACTTTATTCTCGATGGCATAAAAGCAGAGCCCATTCCAGTCTTCAAGCTAATCTTGACCCGGTACTCAGCAGGCAGTGCGGGAAATGGAGCTGCACTGCCATTCTGGTCGGCACCACCACGCCTTGCTGTCCGACCTGCATGCAGACCCATGCTTTGGCGTTATGACTGTGTTTGCAATAATACCATCTTCTTCCACCTTTGACCTAGCAAGTTCCCTATTTTGCCATTTTGCCTTGCTTGGAAGATCTCTTTCCTGTCCTGGTGTCCTGGATGCAGTTTCTCTATCAAACTCCCTCAGCTGCTAGGAGCCTGTGGATTTGAGTCCTAGTAAATTGTGTTGGTCACTGAAATTCATTTGTTTTGGCACCTAACTTGCCATCAGAGTTTCAAAGGAATCATACGCATTTGTTGCTTATATTGCTTTGCTTTATTGAGAATATTTGAGTTTTGAAATAACAATTTAATTTGAACAACTTATAATTTATTTCACTCGTTCCAGTTGACACGATTTAATTTTCTTTTGATTTTGTTACGGATGACGCAAGTGAGACATCTGAGTTATTACTGCGTGTTCAACTGCTTTTTATTTCTTCCTAATTTGCAGTTTTCTCGTGTACTGAAGAACAGAGCCTGGCCCACTTTTAAACAGGCCAAATCTAAAATCTCCCCACTGCACAGCAGTGATTTCTGCCCCACCAACTGCCATGTCAACGTGATGGAAGTTTCTTATCCCAAAACATCAACCTCCCTGGGGAGTGCATTTGGTGTTCAGCTGGATAGTAGGAAGCACAATTCTCATGATAAAGAAAATAAATCTTCTGAGCAAGGTATGTTAGCTTTTGAAACTTTATCAAATCACAAAAAGTAATGTAGGCAATCATAGCTATTCCTGCATCCTTGAAATTCAGTAGATTCCTAGAATGTAAACAAGCCTGAACTTTTATAAAGAAAGGATTCCTCACTATAATCATTCGTATAATTATGCATAATTATATAGTGAATGAAAATGGAGTTAGGCATTTTTATTATTTTTCTTCTAAGAAGGATGATTGCTCTTGCTTTCCTTACATGTATGATAGGCATAGCTCATCTTGCTGTGAAAGCCACTAATCTAAAATTGCCCTGTAACTTTGAGAAAAAC